GGGGGGGAGAGGGTAGGAATCAATCTAAGTATCATGTGCAGAAGACTTTTTAAGATATAGTCTGTGTTTCATCCCTTAGCTGTAAACACCGACCGAACGCAACATGCGGGTACGAGTGGGAATAACCAGCATAGCTTCCTACCCGGCATATATATGATGAACATGTGCCACTACAACACTAAAATTAAATGTCAATATACTTAAAAAAGCGTACACTTCAACTGATCTAAGCAAAAACAACAGTGATGTAGTTCCAATGAACATACAGACCATATAAAATACTTGCAATAACGCAAGCTTACTGTGTCAACAGAAAACAAAAAATGACATTCATGCCTCAGTTCTGGCGTTCTGCAGCACTTTTTTGCCAGCGCGCGACTACTTCAAGTCCCGACAGTTAATAAACTTATTTCTCGATATGAAGGATAAGAGGCTATACTGATGACGCCCATGTACCTCTCCTTCATTTAGTGTTTAACAGCTAAGGAATGAAACACACACACTGCTTACTCGCATGTTCATTTAAAACATGGCATAGATTTTGTTTCAGTTATCTTTCAATTTCTTAATAAACCAGGACGAAGACAAAGGCTGGCAAAATAATCAGTTTGGGTATCACATGTTAATGATGTGCTACTGAAATTCTCCAAAAAATGACTGTAAAAGCATTAGCTTGAAGTCCTTTCATTCATTTTCAGAATTAGTAATAAATGAATAACAAGGAAACTAAGAACGGACAATCAATGCGAGTACCCCACGTTAATGATATCACGAAAATGCACACGCACACACATGCGGGAATAGTTATAGGCCAGGCTCTCCGATTGAGAGGAATGAAAAAAATGGCGAGTAAATTCAGTAATAAAATTAGCGATATTCATTAAATTCACGGCTTATTTTTTTTTTTTTATTTCTATTTCATCACTGCTGCGCTTTGGCGCTTTTTTTGTTGTGCTCAATGTATTTCTTGCCACCATTTGCATAATAGGAAATGTAGTAGAATCGGAGCCACAGCAGCAGATATGACACTTCCATTATTGCACCAACGATGAATCCTCGTAGTGTCACATCATAGTCATTGACTGTTGTTGTGAGTGCAAGTACGGCCAGATGGATCATCACGATATGCGTTATCACAAACTAAATTAACATGCTTGTAAATTATAAATAACCACATAACCAGAAATTTT